GAGAGAGAGAGAGAGAGAGAGAGAGAGAGAGAGAGAGAGAGAGAGAGAGAGTGCGCACTTTCGTCGGACTTTTCAGCCCCTGCCCCCGGCCCCGCACGCCCTTTCCATTTGCCCCTGCTTTGCCACCGTTTCGATTTCGACCAAAACCCAAAGCGCGGTCCCACCGGCAGCTACTGGTCCCTCAATTTTCAAACAAACTGCCACCCCCCCCCAAAGTGCCATACCTACACCTTCCTGCATTTTTCGAGCCTTCCAACGACCAAACGACCCATAATCAACGACCGGTATAACCAAGGACGGCGAAAAAATGTCTCCATATCTCAAAGGGGGGAAAACGCACCCCTGACGGGCTGTGAACTCTCGAAACCCTGGGCGTCGTCCGACTTGACAGAAGAGCTGCACCACTGCGCTACGGGACAGAGTCTGGCCGGCGGGACAGGAGGTCCGCTCTCGAAAGACGAGCCTGTGGGCGGGCAACTCCCGAGGACACTTGCAAATTCGGTTTTTGCAGGCGGGAGACTCTCGACGTTTCAAGAGTGGCGTTGTAGCGTGGCATCTGACAGCTCTCGATCGGGGATCGGGAAAGGGCGGGCAACTCCCGAGGACACTTGCAAATTCGGTTTTTGTCGGCGGGAGACTCTCGACGTTTCGGGTGGCATCTGACAGCTCTCGATCGGGTTTCGAGAGTTTCCCGATCCAGAGTAAGTGCAGCGACGACCCATTCTCAAAACTTGGAGAGTCTAGAGTAGTGCAGCGAGGCCCTGAGTCACACTTCCGAGAGTGCTGTGTGGCCAAGGCCCAAAAAGTCTTGAAACTGGAGGCCTCTCTCCACTACTCTCGACATGCACACAAGACAAAAATCAAGGCCGCTTTCCATGTTCTAAGCAGAAGATTCACTCTCGGTTTGCACATTTCAAGAGTAGTGGAGCGAGCCCTTAGAACTCTTGGAAATGTCTGACAGCTCTTGAAACCTTTCATCGTTTCAAGAGTGGTGTGGCCAGGCCCTTAGGTGGTCCTTGGAGCGATATAGAAAAAACTAGCAAGACCCCCATAAATCCAGGAAAAAAAAGGAAAAAAGAAGTGAGGGGAGTATGGGGGAAGGGGGGTAGGGGTTCCCGAAAAAAAGAAAAAAGAAAACAAAAAGAAGGGGGTTAGGGGCAGGCACCAGCGGAGCTGTGCAGCCGTTTGGTGAGGCCGGGGCCGAACACAGCTCACCCTCTACCAGACCGGTAGTGGAGCCTACTCAGGTCTGTGCCGGAGAGAGAGACGCATTCACGAGTTGGGAGGATGAGTGACAGGTGCTTCCATGACACGCCTCAGGCGGCAGTTCTGAGTCGGGTTCTTCTGAGTCGGGATCTTCTTGTCGCTGACAAGCACACGGGTAGGCATAGCGACCAGCACGTTTGCGCCTTTGGAAAAGAAAAAGGAAAAGAAGGGAAAACTTCAAAAAGGAACGTCCGTGCCGGAGATACGGCTTGCATGGTCGAGAACTGGGGTTATAGGCCGGGCATACTCACACTGGCAATTGTCTAAAACGTATCTGACAGGAATTGCGACCCAACCTGGACGCATCTGACTGTAATCACGTGCAGAGTTCACTGGATCCTGGCAGTGTGAGTGTGCCCATAGTCTGCCCCGAGTTTCCCGAAACGAAAAGAAGGAAAAAGAAACAGGAGTACTGTCATTTGCACTTGGGTGCGGGAAGGAGGAGGAGGAGGAGGAGGGGGTCCTTCGTGTCAGTAGATAGATCAGGGGGGACATTGGTTTGTTGTGGAAAATGGGGGCATGTAGTACTCTCATCTGGAGATTTTGGGAAGGAAATTGTACGTAATTGCGATCAGATACGTCCAGACAAACAAGCGTTACTATTGATGATAGCCCTACATATTCCAATTGGATGGAAGAAGAAAGAATGATCAACAAGAAAGATGATTTCGATGACGATGCTGATGATGAGGATGGTAACGACGAGGTGGAGGAGGGCGACAATGATGATGTGGACAAGGCAGCGAAGGGCAAAGGCGAAAAGTCTTGGACGTGCCTTCGGCCTCAGTATGCCATAAAACAGAGGAGCAAGATAGAGATGGCGGTGGTGACGTGTCTGCTGATGATAACGGTAACGACGATGATGGTGATGGTGATGGTGATAATGTAGACGCGCGTGACATGAAAGGGCATCGTGCGCATCGTGCACCGCACTGCGCTGGGCGCCAGTCTATCCGCCTGGCGGCGCTTCTGCAGCTAGTTTCTGTTTCCTTT